CATTTAACTTGTATAGAGAATTTACCAAATATGAAAAACACCTCAGACAAGTTCAGTTGAGAATACTATACATGTCATCAACAGGTAATATCATTTATGTGTTCCAAAGATGTCTCACCTCTCTATTTTCTCTCTCTAATTACCTTCTTTACACTTTTTCCCTTGCTCACTCTGCTTCCACACTGTCTCCAGTGTCCATAACTATTTCCAATGCTTTTATGTTGTCCAATCTTTCAGTCTCTACCATAGGATGTGGACAGTCAGGATATGTTAAGTAGAGATATAAAATGTCTCTCTTTCATAGCCTGACTTGCTTCATCAGCAATAGATCTTCCATGTTCATCCATTTTCTATCAAATGCCAGGGTCTTACTGTTTTTTTTTTATGGATGAATAGTATTCTATGTAGTATATGTGCCACACTTTTTCAATTCATCCATCTGTTCTTGGACTTTTGGGTTGGTCATGTCTCAGCAATCATGAATAATGCTGCAGTAAACATAGATGGCAAGCACTTTTCCACCTGAGCATTCTCCTGTCCTTTGGATAGATACCCAGGAGTGTAATTGCTGGATCATATGGTAGTTCTATTTGTAGGTCTTTGAGGAACCTCCATATCATTCTTAGCAGTGGCTAGACCAATTTACCTTTCCAACAGTATAGGTTCTACCCTTCTTTCTCTCTCTCTGGTGGGCACTCTTGCCCTCTGGCAAACTTTTAAAAACTATACTTTTTTAAAATTGTTAAAGTCTCCTCTAACCATTACAGATCCTTATACCTATCTATTGGGTTGAGGTTTAGAGAAAGGGTTCTAGGCCAGAATGTTCCTATTTATATGACTCTAAAAGAATACCCTTTGTTACATGTGTAAGCTTTATTCAGTACTATTGTGTGTATAGTAAAAAATGTAAGTATTTAAGTGCATAAAATACAAGGGGTCTTCAAAATGTTCATGGGAAATGTATATTGTAAAGAAAGCACGTGGATTTAAAAAATTTTGGCACCAAAATGAACTTGTGCTTTAATTCTATCTTCCACAAACTTTTTATAGTTCCATCAAATGTTAAAAGTTATGCTCTTAAGGAATTTTTTTGTTATTTCATAGGAGTGGTTGCATTTTGGGTATGGAATTGTTAAACTTTGTGTCTCAGAGAGTATGCTGACTATTCATTGGGTGGGGTGGAGTATATAGAGAGAATTCAGTGTCCATTAGTAAGATGAGTTCAGATTGTCTAGTCATTATTTTGTATGTGCATCTTAGTTAATATTGCTCTGTATTATAGGATAAACAACTAGCCAGAAGTATGTTAAAAGTAGAGAGATAGTAAAATAATCTATTTATACTTTTTAATTTTTATTTTAAAGACAGGGTCTTGCTATGTCAAGATCTTCCTGTTTTAGCCTCCCTGGTAGTTGGGGCTATAGGTGCATACCATTGTACCCAGCTCTTCAGAGTGAGCTGGGAATTGAATCTAGACTTCCTATGTGGTGTTACCCTGACAAATAGCGGCGTCAACTAGTGCGCACCACTGCAGCTGGGCCTATAAATGTCCTTTTGTTAATTTTGTAGGAAGGACAGTCTTCTAGAAGTGACATCAATTAATCCACCTCCTGGAGCTAAATATAGTCCTATATTTAGTCACCACAATGGTGGAAGAGGAAGAAGAGGAAGTTTAAAGGGAAGGGCTTTTTGCTACTAGACAAATATTTTATAACATTTAAGCTTTATAGATGTATTGAAGTGACACCATATGAGAAAAAGTAGAACTAGTGAATTAAGCAGTTTGTAAATATCTTTGTTATAATCGATAGAAAATATGAATCTAGGACATGAAATTTGTAAGCCACCTCTGAGCAGTGTATATCGGGGTTTGTTTCTCAAGTTGGCAGCGGAGGGGCAGAAGGAAGTTTTATTAAGTGAGAAATGCATGCAGATGTGTTCAAATTTACATTTTGATGATAGCCATTTGGGTATGTGCATCTCTTTTGGTTGTACTGTAGGAATGCACTGAGCAATTAAATGGAAACATCCATTTATTACAGAGCCGATAATGAATTCTGTTACAAACATAATTAAGGGTACTCTTTTGGTTTGTGTTTTAAATTGATCTTTAAGGGAATGTCATATTTTAGTCCTAACCTCCAATACTTTTATCTAGAGGTCTGTTGCCATTTTTGTCTTCTGTGAAATTTTTGTGCCCAAGAAAGAATTACATTTTTTTTAACAGATTGAGTTGATATAGCATATTCCTGGTTATCAAAATAGAGCTTTGGGGCTTTGAATTGGCAAATATTCATGATGTGTGAGAAAGCATGATACATACTATACTGTACAATCCCGGTCATATAAAATTGGATGTTGTGTATACAAACAAGACATAGAAGGACACATCCCACTGTAAACTGTTTGTAACTGGATGACTTTGTTTTTGTTTCTTGTGTTTTTCAGTCTCCTATAATGTATATATTGGCTTTCAAGAAATAAAGGTTATTTTTAAAACCTGTTAAAAAAGACTATACATTTGGTCATTACATAAATATTATTTTATTATATTGGGAAACTTCCACATTTATTAAGTTTTACACATTTTAGATAAAATTACTTCTACTTACTATACAATGGATTTATTAATATTTTATTCTTAATATAAATTTGCATTGATTTTAGCACTGTTAGTATAGCTATCTCATATAGGAGAGCAAGTAGAATTTTTAAAATAACACTTTTTTCTTTGTTTAAAAGTGTATAATATGGACATTTTTCTAGAATGTGGTATTCAAAGAATACTTTCTCTATTAGGATTTTCATTAACATTTTGATTATCAGGGCCAGAAGGTGGCATAATGGTTAAGACACTAGATTTTCACATCACTGAACATCCTTTGAGTCCCAGACCCAGGAGCTTGGAACTTACACTGGGTACATGTGTGTGCTGGTCCAAAATCTTGAGAGGAAAATAGAAGAGAAGGGATTGTGTTACTTGTGCATGATTTCTCACTTTCTCTCTGTCTGTGCAGTGAGTACACCTGCCCTATAGTGATAATCTCTCTATAAAAAGATTATAATCATTACCATAGAAATATTTTTATTCTGTCACCATCAAAGCCCTTTCTGACACTGTACATTACTTGCATTTCTAGAATCATGAAATATGTTTTATTCTTTTCCTATTTTCTTTTACTCACAATTATTTTAATACACACCAGTAGTATTGTTTATATAAAATTTTATTTTATTGCTGAATAATATCGCATTGTATGATACCCCCAAATTTGTTTCCCCAACTTATCTGTTGCTTGATATTTATTTTGTTTTTAGTTTTTCTTACATCTGAAGCCACCACACACATTTGTATATAATATTTTATGTAGGAGCTGGCAGATGGCATGGTGGTTAAGTGAGTTGGACTCCCACATGGCTGACCATGGCTCAAGTCCTGGACCTAGCAGCTTGCTTTCTCGCTTTCCCTCTTTTTTTTTCTTTCTTCGACTCTGACCCTCTCTGGTCAAATTGAAAGTAATAAATAAAGTAAAATAATTCTTTAAGAAAAAGGATTTAATGTGGACACATGTAAAGTCTATTAAACACTGAAAAAGAGATGATTGGATTACATAGTAATTATATACTTAACTTTTTAAAAAGAAGTAAAAATATTATCCAACATCTCTTTTTATAAGGGAGATGTATATCAAAACTACAATGAGATATCACCTAACTCCAGTCAGAATGGCTAAGATTTAAAAAAAAAAAAAAAAGGTAATTGTTGGCAGGGATGTAGTGAAAGGGGAAAACTCCTACACTGCTGGTGGGAATGTAAATTGGTCCAGCCACTGTGGAGAACAATATGGAGGTTCCTCAAAGACCTTCAAATAGAACAACCATATGATCCAGCAACTCCACTCCTGGGTATCTACCCAAAGGATAAGAGAATGCTTAGTAGGAAAAGTACTTGCACATCTATGTTTACTGTTACTTAGTAATTCACAATTACTAAGACATGTCCAAATGTCCACAAACAGAGGAATGGGTTGAAAAACTGACACAAATACTCATGGAATACTTCTCATCAATAAGAAACAAGATACTGGCATTTAAAGAAAGTGGATGAATTGAAGTGAGTCAGGCTATGAAAGAGAGACATTGTATGTCTCCACTCAATATATACTGACTGTCTGCACTTTGTGGTGGAAAATGAAAGATTAGGGGGCATAGAAACATTGGAAATGGTTATGGACACTGGGGACAATGTGGGATAAGGGTGAGAAGAAGGAGAGTGTAAGGAAAGAAATTAAGGAGGAAAATAGTGAGGTAAAACATTTATGGGAGACAGAAATGGATTATTATCTGTTGATAACAACTATAGTATCCTCAACTGGACTGGTGGGAAGTGTATTCATGCTGAATAAATTCAGTTTACAAGCTATTTGATGTGTAGTGGTTTAATATATAAAATACATTTAAATAAAAATTTTAAAAGTGTTATCAAAATTTGATAGAATATTTTTATCCACTAGGAATTTATAGAATTTTTAGGTTCTCCAATAATTTGTCATTTTATATTCTATCTCTATTTTTAATTTTACTCCTTCTAATAGGTATGTAGTGATATTACTTTATCTTCCCTGACATTTAACTGTGACCTAATATTTAATGCCTTTTGATGGTTATTTGATTCAAATCTATCATCTTTGGTAAGATATTTTTTTAAAGAATTATTTATTTAATTTCATTTGTTATTATTATTAGCTTTTTTAAGAATGATTTTATTTAACTTTATTTTTTCTAATTTGACCAGATAAGGATAGAGGAAGAGACAGAAGCGAGAGAGAGAGAGAGAGAGAGAGAGAGAGAGAGAAACCCCCCTGCCAGTTCTGGGACTCAAACCATGATCGGCCATGTGGGAGTCCAGCATCCTTAACCATCACAACACCTGCCAGCACCCATTATTATTACTTTTGTTCAGAGAGAGAAAAGGAAAAGGATCTGAACAACTGTCAGCCATGTGGGAATACAGTGCATTTAACAACCTTGGCACCTGCCAGCTTCTGGTAAAGTATTTTAAGTATTTTACATATTTTAAAAAATGATTGTTTTCTTCTTACAAAGTATTAAAAAGCTTTTACATATTCTCTGTATAGTTCTTACTCAGGTATGTGATATGTGAATATTTGCTTCTTTTTAAAAATTTAATTATTATTATTATTTGGACATTCAATCACTATACATCATTTAGATTTTAAAGAGACTTTATCCAGCATAATGTACATCTCAGTCCACGTGAGAATTCTATACAGAACCTCATCAACAGATAATAAACCATATCTGTGTCCCACAAATATCTTATCTCGTAATTCTCCCCCCCAAATTTCCTTTCCTGTGCTTTTCCCCTCCCACACTCTCTGTCCAATTTGTCTCTCGTATTCATAACAATTTTTGATGCTTTTATGTTCTCCAGTCTTTCAGTCTTTACCATAGAGTGTGGACAGTCAATATATGTTAAGTGGAAATAAAATGTCCATCTTTCATAACCTGACTTCTCTCAGCAACAATTTTTCCATATTTATCCACTTATATCAAATTCTGGGACCTTGTTCTTTTTTATGGCTGAATACTATCCCATGGGGATATGTGCCACACTTTTTCGTTCCACTCATCTGTTTGTGGACATTTGGCTTGGTTCCATGTCTTAGAAATGATAAATAGTGCTGCAATAAATATAGTTGTGCAAGTGCATTTTTGACTGAGCATTCTTCTGTCCTTTGGGTAGATACCCAGGAGTGTAATTGCTGGATCATATGGTAATGCTATTTGAAGATCTTTGAGGAACCTCCATATTGTTCTCCACAGTGGCTGGACCAATTTACATTCCCACCAACAATGTAGGAGAGTTTCCCTTTCCCCACATCCCTGCCAGCACTTACCATTTTTTGCATTTTTAATCTTCGCCATTCTGACTGGGGTTAGGTGGTATCTCATTGTGGTTTTGATCTGCATCTCCTTTATGATGAGGGATGCTGAGCATTTTTTCATATGCTTTTTGGCTGTTCATATGTCTATGTTTATTCAGCCCATTTTTCCATTTTTAATTGGGTTAATCATTTTCTTCTGGGTAAGCTGCTTGAGTTCGCCGTGTATTTTGGTTATCAGCCCCCAAATTTTCTCCCATTCCAAGGGTTGTCAATTTATGCTAATTATGGTGTCCTTTGCTGAGCAGAAACTTCTTAATCTGATGTAAACCCACCTGTCTATTTTAGAGGTTATTGCCTATGATTTGGGGGTCTTTCTCAAGAAGTGTCTTACTCCAATGTCTTCCAGAGTTTTCCCAGTTTTTCCCAGCAGCAGTTTTATAGTTTGAGGTCTTAGTTTTAGAACTTTGATCCACTTTGAGTTGATTTTTGTCAATGGTGAAAGGTAGGGGTTCAGATTCATCTTTCTACAAATGGATATCCAGTTTTTCTAACACCACTTGCTGAAGAGGTTTTCCTTTCCCAACTGGATTGACTGGTACACTTTGTCAAAGATCAGTTGGCTGGGAACCAGCAGTTAGCATAATGGCTATGTCGCTGAACTCCCATGTAGCTGACCACGGTTTGAGTGTCGGACCTGGTGGCTTAAACTCAAGCTGGGCGCGTGTGCACACGTGCCCAAGATCCTGAGAGGATAATGGAGGAAAAGGGATTGCGGTGTGGCCGTCCCCTCTGGGGGGTGATTTCTCGCTTTCTATCTCTCTGTCTCTTTGTCTTTCTCGCAAGAACATGCACCCTAGGGAACCAGCAGTTAGCGTAATGGCTATGTCACTGGACTCCCACGTAGTCGACCGCGGTTCACGTCCCGGACCCGGTGGCTTAAAACTCACGCCGGGCGCGTGTGCGTGCGTGCCCAAGATCCCGAGAGGAGAATAGAGGAGAAGGGATTGCGGCGTGACCATCCCCCCTGGGGGGTGATTTCTCGCTTTCTGTCTCTATGTCTCTCTCTGACTGTCTGGCGAGCGCACGCGCCCTACAGTGAAAATCTCTCCAAAAAAAAAAAAAAAAAAAAAAAGAACATGCACCCTATATCAAAAAACAACAACAACAACAAACAAACAAACAAAAACTCTCCAAAACTAACCAACCAAACAAACAAACAAATCAGTTGTCTATGTTTGGGAGTTTCTTTCTGGGGGTCTCTACTCTGTTCCATTGGTCCTCATGTGTGTTTTGTGCCAATACCATGCTGTTCTGATTATCACAACTTTCTTATATTTTTTTGAGTCAAGAAGTTAGATGCCACCCACTCCATTCTTCTAGTGCCAGATGGCTTTGGCAATACATGGTCTTTTATGATTCCAGACAAATTCTGATTGCGTTTTCTAGATCTGTGAAGAATGCCTCTTGTAATTTTGTAGGAATTCCATTAATTACGTAGATTAATTTGAGTAGGATTGACATTTTGATTACATTAATTCTGTCCATCTAGGAACATGGGATGTCCTTCCACTTTTTTGTGTTCTTTTTCATTTCATTTTCAAGGTTTTCATAGTTTTCCTTTTAGAGGTCTTTGACTTCCTTAGTTACTTTTATTCCTAGGTATCTTATACTTTAAGAGGTATGGTAAATAGGGTTACTTTCTTCAGTTCTGTCTCTGCTTGTTGTTTGTATATAGAAATGCTATAGATTTTTGTAAGTTAGTTTTGTATCCTGCCACTTTAGTGTATGCATTTATTACTGCGAGAAGTTTTTTCATGGATACTACTGAGTCTTCTATGTATACAATCATGTCACCTGCAAATAGAGATAATTTCCACTCTTCTCTCCCTATTGGAACGCCTTTTATTTCCTTCTCTTATCTGATCACATTGACTAGGACTTTCAGTACTATATTGAATAGGAGGAAAGAAAGTGGGTAGTTTTGATTAAGGGTGCTGGACTCCCACATGATCGATCATGGTTTGAGTCCCAGAACTGGCTGCGTGGTTTCTCTCTCTCCTGTCTCTGTCTCTTCCTCTGTCCTTGGTGGGGGCAGCCGCGCGGCGCAAGCAGCGGCTCCGGGGCGGCCGCACGCAGGGATGCTCCGGGGGCGGCGGCAGCGGCCGGGTGGGCTGAGGCAGAGGACAGTGCGGGCCCCCGGGCCTCTACCCTGAGACAGCCGCCGGGCAGCACGCGCCGCCGAGGGC